CAATTTGCCATTGATTAAACTCCACAATTAATTGCAAACAAATAATTTTCGATTTAACTTCCATTTTTTTTAACTCAATAATAATACTTTGTACTTCAGTTTTTATTTTAGCTTCAATTTCCATAATGAGATTTAACGAAATAACGAGATAAATGTTGTTTTATAAAGAAAAAATTGAGTGTCATATTCATTGAATACATAATTCATATGTATGAATAAGTGTCATTTTCTTTATCGAAGTTACAACTAAATAATTCACTAATTCAATTCAATGGATAAACGCTTAAAAATTAATATTTTTCAATTCTTTCGCAGTATGTTTGATGGAAGAAAAAAAAGTAGTTGATTGGTGAGAATTGTAAATTTTCCGGATATCGTTAGTTTTCTTTGGATCCGAGAAGGTCGCATGAATTCTTACAGGGTCAAAATTCGCTTATTTCACTGAAGCTCATATCCTCCATCTGTAAGAAAAGGAGAAATACGTTGGCTTTTACTTTTTTTTTGGCAAATCAAATCAATTGAGAACATATTTTTTTCAATGTCTAATTTAAAAAAACGGTTTTTATGTCCAATTCAAAGAAAAATCTTACATCTTCGTGGTCATTTGGCGTGGAAACGTTTGCGTGAGTTGAGAGCAACACTTGTCCATTGACGTGAATCTGTGGAAAATAATGATTTCAGAACATAAGTGGCCTATTTTATGATCCAATTTGAATTTCGACATGAAACTTGGGAAAAATTTCTCTTTTTCACTTTCTTTTGTGTGGAAAATCAGTTGAATAAAACCAAGAACAAGATATTCAAAATACCTGATTATTGGCCTGATTCTGAGCCGTTGTATGAGTAGATTCCTTGTCTTTTAGCCTGTGAGTGAAACGAAATACCCACATTTTAGACCAGTTTTAAATTCAATTCACTTTGTTTCTATGGAAAACTGAAATGTTCCAATACATTGTTCAAATTAGTAAAACTCACCATAGTCGTTGCACACATTCTTGGCTACAAACAGGCGGTTTGAAGTTCTTGAGCGTTGCTTTCTCTTTGCACACTGTGCACCATTCCTGGCTTTTGGTCTCTTTGATGGCTTTGTGAAGCTGTGCATCATGATCTGTCTTCAGCTGGAGAATTTCCTTTTCGTAACGCACCTTTTCAATTTCAATGGTCTTTTGAATTTGTGCATCATGATCCTGTTTCAGTGTTAGAATTTCTTGTTTCAGCGCGTTCAATTGAGATTCGACTACCTCTCGTTGAGCTAATAAATCGCTGATGTGTTTATCCTTTTCCAACAATTCGACCTTTTGCAACTGGATGAGATTTTCTTTGTTGGTGATTTGGTTTTTGAACACCTGGAACATATCCTCAAGTGGCTGAAGTGCGGAAGTTGAGTCCACAGCAATTGTTGATACTTCACTTGCGACATTCGTTGGCGATTCATTTACGGATGTGTTTCTTTGTGGCAAAGGATTTTGGTTCGATTCGGTCGTAACACCGCCTTCATTTGTGGCTTGCTCTGAAGTGCTATCGATTGGTAGGTTTTCATTGGATGGAGCTTCATTCCGTTCAGGCTCATCGGATCGGTCGATTGTTTCGTCTCTTGGTGTATCATCTTCTTTCTGTTCGTTTTTATCGCTCTCAGCAGTGGATTCAATGCTTTCATCCAGTTTGTCTTCATCGCCCGTATATGAAACGACTTCGGAACATTCAATCTTCGATTTATTGCTTGGATTGGCCCGTGCTTCGGTGCTGGCATTTGGTCCGAGCTCTGGTTCTGTGTTTTCTGGTATTTTTTCTGGCGTTTGCTCTGAACTTTCTTTCGTATTTTCCCCTGTTTCAATGTGAGTTCGAGATGCCGACTCCGATTCCGATTCAGACTGTGATTGTGGTTCAGATTGCGATTGAGGCTCAGTTTCAGATTCAACATCCCTGAACGGATCATCAACACCACTGAAAGGATCGGCCATATCACTGAAAAGCCCGTCGTCCAAATCTTCGAATAAATTTGGAACCATGACCGAATGTATCTTCTTTTGTTCATGAGTTGAACTGTGACTTTTCAGTGTATCGCAGTCACTATCCAGTTCACCGTTGGTAACAGGTGCTACACTGGCAACATTCACTGGCTTATCATCTTTAGTTGGTACTTTTCGAATAGCCAAATTTTGTGTGTGTAATGAACCGTATGATTTTCGCGCGATGAATGCTTGATTCGCGTTTGATAATGGTTTTTTGACACGTGTGGCGCTCATTCTTTCTTCACCCGAAATCGTCATTCGTCTGCTGTGTCTCTCGTATGTGCGTGGAGTTGGATCTTTTCGACATGTAAGCTCCTCTTCGTCATTTGGAGCTGAGTTGTTCGATGTTTCATCTGCTGGATTTGTGTCATTTGGGATTTTATCGTCTGAAGTTTCATTAACCAGTGGTTCGTATTCTGGACTTTTGAGTGTGTGTTCGTCCGTATGGATTGGCGGAGTCATAATAGTTTCGGTGTTCTCATCACCGTTCGATGGCTGATCGACTTCCATTTCTTCATCACTTTCTTCAGATGAAATATCAATGCATTTGGGAGCACAATCATTGCTATCATGACGAATAGGGATGATCACCAAATCAAATCGATTCATTTGTTTTTTGGCTCGAAGCAACCGTTGTTCGAGCTCATCACATACAAGATTATCTTGTTCCAAATTTTTCAGGGCGCATACATTCATTTCGTCTTCATGTTCTTCATTTTGATTGACAGCCTCGTCACTTCCACCTTCTTCATCTTTCTCCTGTTCATTTCCCTCTTTTTCACCTCGGTCCATTTCATTTGCGTTCTTTTGGCCTCCTTCTTTGTCACTACCATCTCTTTCATGTCCATCGTTGTCGTTTCCATCTCTTAAGCGTCCATCCTTGTTACTTCCATCTCTTTCAGCTTCATATCTTCCACCACCGTCTTTGTCCTTTTCATCCCCTTCATGTTCGTCCTGTTGACGTTCATCTTGACTTTTCTTCTTCTTCTTCACTGGTCTGTTCAAAATTCTGTCGATCATATCGTCACATATTTCGAGGCGAACTACACAATCCATCACCTTTATTTTGGTTCCCACCTCTTGAACCAATGATTTGGTATTTTTGACTCTAGGTGAACTTGGGCCCTTGCGACGTCGGTACTTTCTTAGGTACGTTGGCTTCTTTTTCAACTTAAAGTCACCTGGCAGCTTCAACCCCGGAATCATATCTGTGAGATGCTTTCCAATCCGTTGGATACTGAACTGTGCTTTTGGCGCTGGTCTCTGCACAGAACAAGAATACTTTGATTCGATATTCTCGATGTATTTTTCCGCTTCCTAGAAATTTGTTGAAAAAATGATTTTGCCTTTATTATTAGGAGATTAAAGTATGTTGAGAAGAGAATTAAACATAAATTCTTCAAGAAGATATTTGGAAATCCAATGATGAATTTATGCGGATCATTGAATAAAATCGAATGTATGTGTACAATTTTCCCCAAATCGAATCAAAGTGTTCAAATTTTTACAAATTTGTCAAAGCAACTTCGGAATATAGCTTACCTTCATAGCATCATCGATTTCTTTGTCGAATTTTTTGTTTGGATTGGCCGAAAAAAGAAGACAATCACTGACCATAATATTCTGCCGCTCGTGTGTTCCAAAGAATCGTACTTCAATTTTATTATTACCCACATCACCCAAACTGATCGCCTTCGCCGGCCAATAGGGATGACCGTGCATTCTGAAAAAAGATTCACCATTTAATATAATGATGGAATGAAAGTTGAGATTTTCTTCATTACCTGGCCCATACTATCAAATGAGGCGGATTGCACACTTCGATGAACCATGTTTTCGGATTTTGGCTAGCCCGATGGAAGCATTCACCGCACATCTCAATGTCGTACACTTCCATATCGCATAATTTCTCCATGTTTCGGGCCATTTCCAAACGATGGTCTGTGCCTGAAATTTTTATGCAAAATGTTATGAAATTTTTTTTTTTTTAGTTTTTCAGTTTTGATTCCTTTAGAAAGATTCGCAATTTCAAAGCAATTCCATATCCTTCATGTGTCTACATGAGCTCACGAAGCAGTTTCCATTTCCAATGAATTTATCTTAGCCAAAACTCAATTAAAACTATCCCAATTTTCATAAACTTGAATCACTTCCATTCTAGTTTTGTTTGGAATTTTCTATTGATTCAAATTTGATACAATTTTCCTTACCGTTCAGCACAATTTCCGCATTGTGTCTGATCCATGTAATGTCATTGATGAATTCCAATGTGGTCATGTAATTTGAATGCTCCACTTTTTCCATGACAATGTCCAAATCGAATGGATTTATGATATTCGGGCCTGAATTGTGGGGCTGGCGTAGCTGAGAAACATATCTGTCAGCTTTGAAGCGGCCGAACTGAATTGATGAAAAAAGAACAGATATTATTAAGGATAAGCAGTTTGAAGATATGATTGAATTGAATGAAGTCTACGGCCAGAATGAATGAAATCTACGACGTTCTCTGTCACAAGAACATTCAAGAGATACACTTACGTCTTTGTCATCTTGTAGGCGCTTTGTGACATATTTCAACATTCTGTTGATTTGTTCCATGTTGACGTTTCTGCAAGTAAAAAAAAAATAAATCAAATCATTTCAAAGTTCAAGAAATGTTCCAAATCTTTCAAGTCCAATAAATCAAAAGAACCTTTTGTTGTAGTCTTCTTTAGCTGCCTCCATTCTGATGCACAGCTCGCATTGGTAGTCGGTTTTTGGTTGTGCCGCTTCTTTGACCCCAATGCATCCATCGTGATATGATCGAATGCATGTTGAGCAACCGCGATCGGCATTGCCATCGATTGGTTGATGGCACAGCCAACAGTATGGGTCCCAGTTTGGTTTTGATTTCAATAGTTTGAGGGGAACACCATCGTCCGTTTCGTCCGATTCACTTGACGCAATAAATGACTGACGTCGTGATCGCTTACGTGACATTTTACCTAGAATTGAGAGAGAGAGAAAAGTTTGGTTGGAATCACAATCGAATGACATCGCAAAAAATACGTACGAAACGATGAACAAATATATTGGTAGATATCGAATAAATACACGAAAATTAATGGTCTTTTTATGAACAAATTTTCTATTTTATGTCAAATTTGAGGGAAAAAATGTGACAAAAAAACGTTTCCTAAGCAAAATTTTCGAAAAACTTGAACAAATTCACACAATTACCTCTCTACACTGAAGAGAGAGGCCGATGATACTTTTTATTCAAACTCACTGTGAAGCTGTAAGCTAAATAAGCTTTACACGAATCGGTGACTCTTTCAACTGTCATCAATATCCGAAATTCAGAATAAAATGTCAGCCGACGTGATTTTTTTTTGTCTGCATTGGCCGGTTAAGTGTTTAACAAGTGGAATTTGAATAAAATATTGATTGCAGCGCTCTTTATTTGCTGAATTTTGCTGACAGAACCATCTACTACAGGCTGTGTATTGTACAGTATGCATTTTAATACCACCAGACGGCTTCATTGAGTTTCAACTAATTACGCAGGATTTTGAACTCAATTCAATTCGATTGTATATGGCATTTTAGATGGCAATTCGACCGGATTTGCATTTTAGGTGGAATTTAATTTTTACTTGATGAAAATGATAAAGTCTTGATGGAAAAAAAATGTCTTCTTTTGTGAGAGAAGCCGAAAGAGATAGAGAAAGAGAGAAATTTCCTTCGAATGAGAGAGATATAGTGATGGGAATAGAGGGAGAGAGTAAATACGTATAAATAGATTCAATTTTGACTTTGTTCAAAATATGCGTGCAATGAAACCTCAAAACAGCATCCGATAAAACCTCAAAACCAAATTCTCACTTCGCGAGCAACTATATCAGTTCATTTTTCGTAGGAAAAATCCCAAATAGAAACGTTTATCAAAATCGGGGCTGACTCAGAGTGTTAGCAGCTTCAGATTTGTAAAGGCTGAATGAAGTCACAAAATTTTAAAGCATATTTGAAATCAGTTGATATGAAATCAACAAAAAAAAATTGGAATTAGCTCTTTCTGCCGCCACAGTCAAGCTGTCATATCGTTAGCAATCCACAACTAAACCAATATACCTCCGTAGAAAGAAAGTCTTATGGGAATGTTTATGTATGTAATGCGGTTTGTTTGTTGCGATAATTTGTGTCCACGTTGATTTGTTTACATCTATATAAAAAGCCCTATTCAAGAGTGATTTTTGCTTTCTCTCTGTTGTTTCATAATACTCTATTTTTATTAGTCTAACTTGATAACATTTACATTCGGTGTTTTCTCTCGTATACATGGTTGTGTGTGAATTGAATACTGTGCGATCCTAGTACACTGGTGCCTATGCGAACAAGCTGACTTCAATTCAAAACATTGCACTATCAAAATATTCATCTGTGGAGGTCATATGCACACAAAAACAAACACGAATCAATGTATTTATAAACAACAAGTCGTAATTTTTGGATGTATTTATCAAACGGAAATTAAAATACACAGTGAAAGATAATTTTCAGTAGAATGTGCCATTAATGTTGGAGTTTATGCGTTCACAGAGCATTGAGCGAAGCAACGAGCATTCACAGGGCATTAGGTGCTGAGAGAGCATCGGAAGTATTTCTTCATTTACTGAACATTGGGCCTATTTGTTGTGCTCACTAAGCAGCGGTACATCGCTGTTGCTCGCAAGCATAAACACGTAGAAACATGTACACCAAGTCGCACATGCTAACCCGCACTATACACCGTATATTATACAGGCGTTTGTCTGCAAACAATTGTACACAACAACATGAGTACAACAATGCGATGAATATGAAACGTTGAGATTAATTTTGTCATTTGAAATTGATTCAGATTGAATTAATCTGTTCGTTTTTCTATATTTTCTATTGCATTTCGATGATATATCCAGTGTTCATTTCAATTTTGTGTATTCTACGAATGGTCAAGTGTTGATAGAGTTCCGAATAAAGCACGCATTAGCACTTAAACGTTTTCAATCATCCATCAATTAAGAAAATTGTCAATGGAATTTCGATATGAAATATAGTTAGCTCATGAAGAGTAAAAAAAAAACTTTTCACCCCAACACCAAAAACCAACACATGAATTACGGTAAAAACTAGTTTCAAACTCATGAATTACGGTACAACAAAGAAATGAAATGGAATTTACACCAACACCGAATTTCACAACAAATCAAAACATTGCCCAAATCAAACCTTCACTGAACAGCCTGCTGGCTGTTCGTCCAAAGTCTTTTGTGCGCATTTTTCCCTCGACCAATGTCACTCCACTGTTTTTTCTCTCTCTCTCCTTTTTCCAGCCAAAACAAAAAAAAATCTAATTTTATTTTAATGAACGAAATTGTTTTGTGTGTTTAAACAAAAAAAATGCCACTTTGCATAAAATGAGTCAACAACATCGGTGTACGATTCAAACAATACTGCCGGCATTCACATCGCTCCAACGCACGTTTCCCATTACATACTATGCACACACAAACACAGTCTCACACCACGTTTGGGACGAAGACAGAGAATAAGAAACCGGCAAAAAGGAAACCGATAACATTTTATTACACACACGTACAAAGTACAGCTACGAGTAAGTGTGCTGCTCTTTGCGACGCTCAACGCTTACAGCGTGCGTCTGTTGTGTTCACAACAGCTGTAATACGATACAATTCAGCATGATGCAATCGTATGGATAACGTTTTAACCGAGACAGAGACCGAATATTTAGAAAATATGTTATGACAGTTCGAATGAATTTTTTTAAGTCGATTTTTGTATGTTTTCCTTTGTCGGAGCCTACTTTGTTTAGGTTTGTATGGATCATAAAAAATGAACGAGTCGGACATTTACTCACAAAAATGAAAGAAAAAACAAAGAAAAACGAAAAAAGAAAGAAAAAAACATGAGAAAAGTAGAGAACAATGGAAAAAGTTATGAAACACGATGAAATTGCTCTGTTTTGGTGAAACAGCAAGTGAAATGCGGCAATTTGAAGCCTCCAAATGAACACAATTACAACGAGCTGATGAAGAAGGTGTGTTTTGAATATTTCATTGAAAATAATGTTTGATTCACATTCCACCAGCATTAAGCATTACAAATTACTGTTTCCGAATATTTTCTGCATTGAATCCATACGAATAACTCGAACAAAAATGTTGCACCAATGCTACCTACCAACTCATGTTCATAGATGGCGCTGTATGGTCAACTTCTCAACATTGTGAAATACCAAAAGAAAACGCGCAATGACATGAATGACAGACGAGATTGTTTTCGCGCCAACAGCACATAGCTTTCTATTGTGTTCGGTATTTTGTTTGCATATCAGTAATTTGTGTGCGGAAATTCATAGAAAACGTGTTAAAACCATTGAATATTGAACTTTTCTTCCAAAAATCGAGCGAAAATAATAAAATTAAAGTAAATTCATTGTTTTTCTGTTGAATTATCATCGGAAAGTTTCAAACACAACAGCAAAATGGGTACATCAGCATTGAGCACGGGCTGTTTGCTGGTAAGCATATAGGCATCGAGTTTTCAATCGAATATTCTGAAGAATTTTGTCGAATGAAATGTTTTTTTCTTCCAATTTTCAAAGTTTACAATCGATTTACATGTTGATTCTGATTTTTTGTTCATTCGCCAAAGCAAATTATGACTGGTGACGGACAGTACGAGGGCGAGCCAATTTTGCAAGTGCTCGGTTCAAAGCGTATTGCCGGCGGCAATGCTGAACGATACCGTTTGTTGCTCTCCGATGGCCAGTATTTACAAAGTTTTTCCATGCTGTCGACACAATTGAACCATTTGGTGAATGAAGGACAATTGGTTGAGTTCACAATCATCAAAGTGAACCAGCACATCACGTCGGTGGTCAATAAGAATGAAAATGATGAAAGGTAAGCGTTTCACGATTACTTGCGACTAAAAGAATCTATTTACATTGAGTGGTTTTCTTTACAAAAAGTCGTCGGGTGTTGATCATCATCGCATTGGAAGTGTTGAAACCGGGTGTAGAAGTGGGCGAAAGAATTGGTGATCCAATTAGTTTGACTGAAGTGAACAAGCCAAAAGCGGCCACAGCGCCAGAGCCACAACGAAATGTTTTGAATACCAATTCAAATGCAAATACATTGCCACCACCACCGCAGCGCACACAAAAGCCATCGATGAATGAATCGATGACATTTGATGGCCGTGCCACGATTCCAATCAGCGGATTGAGCCCATACCAGAACAAGTGGGTTATTAAGGCTCGTGTCACCGCCAAGCCAGCGATTCGACACTGGAGCAATGCTAAGGGTGAAGGCAAGCTCTTCAGCATGGATCTGATGGATGAAAGCGGACAAATTCGTGTCACAGCGTTCCGTGATCAAGTCGACAAATTTTATGATATGATCGAGGTACATTTTAGGAATTTTTTTGGTCGATTTTTAACTTTTTTTCTTTCGAAAATGTTAAATTATGCTAAATGAACCATTCCTCTATGATAGAGACTCTATTCGTTGATGCATCATGCACAATTTGAATCAAAATGTATACAAAAAATAACCCTAACTAATCGGTTTCATTGCTAGGTGGACAAAGTCTACTATATCTCGAAAGGACAACTGAAGCCGGCCAACAAAACCTATTCCAACATACCAAACGATTACGAAATGACTCTCACGAATGAGACTGTGATTCAGGAATGCATCGAAAATTTGGACGATGTGCCAACGGTCAAGTATGACTTTGTGCCGATCAGTGAGATTGCAGACAAGCCAGCAAACACGATTGTCGGTGAGTTTGAGAGACGTGATATCAATCGACTTCATTCATATTAAAGCAACAAAATGCATATTCATATCAGAAACAAAGAGCCAATTGTTTGAAAATAACAAGCAAGGCAATAGCTTGAAGTCACTTGACTTGATGAGTCAAGCTGACGATGACATTTTTCGGAAAAACGATTGTTTTCTATAGGCCGAAGGTTTACTAATACATGAATTTTCATTTCACAGACATAATCGGTGTTTGCCGTGACGTTGGCGAATTGAATGCATTCACGGCCAAATCGACTGGGAAGGAGTTGAAGAAACGCGACATTACATTGGTTGATAACTCGTAAGTACTGTCGTCTTTTGCCGTTTACGTAATGCGCACAGGTTTATTGCCGGCTACAGACTAATGCAAACACACCTAACAGAACTAGTTCTCAACAAGCCTTTCATACTTTTGAACCAAATACAAGTCATAACCTTGTTCCATTCACTTCTGTCCTCAGTGATGCATCGATTAATCTAACACTATGGAATGCAGATGCCGAGAATTTCAACGATTATGGCCAACCCGTTCTATTGGTCAAAGGTGGGCGTATCGGTGAATTTGGTGGCGGAAAGTCGATTGCAATGATCGGTAGCACTGTGCTGAAGAAGAACCCCGACTTGAAGGAAGGTCATTTCTTGCGCGGCTGGTTCGACAATGGCAACGGTCGAGAGGTTCGAAACAGCATTTCAGCACAATCTGGCGGCGGCGGTGGTGGTGGTAACTATGCCGCCGAATGGTTAACATTCCACGAGGCTAAATTGAAGAATCTCGGCAATGGCGACAAACCGGATTACTTCCAAATCAAAGGCATCGTCAGCCTGATTCGAAACACAAATGTTGTGTACAAGGCCTGTTCACAGGATCCATGCAAGAAGAAGGTCGTTGACATGCAAAACGGCCAATATCGATGCGAAACTTGCAACGTTGAATCCGCCAACTTCAAGTATCGCATGATTGTCAACGTAAGTACAGAAGATGTTCGATGTTTATCAATCAACGGTTTCATTTTGATACAATCAGGTTGATATTAGAAACCAATTGATTGAATGCATGTTTGGTGGCAACAAATTGATGCATTTTCATGTGATATTAACGCCGATTTTCTTTCCATAGATGAGCATTGCTGATTGGACATCCAACCGTTGGGCAACAGTGTTCACAGATGATGCCGAAAAGATGCTTGGTAAGTTTTATTTCGTGTTTGGCAAATTGAGGTTATGCTATCAGTATCATGTTTCATGCTTTGAATAATGATATTCATCTCATAATTCAACATTATCCCTTTTCTAGGCAGAACATCCGATGAGATTGGTTACATGGTTGATAACGATCCAGAAGCATTGAACACATTCCTTCAGGAGCAACATTTCCGGTCATTCACGTTCAAATTGCGCACAAAGGTCGAAACATATGGCGACAGCCAACGCAACAAGATTTCGGTCCAAGCCGCCACGCCGCTCAACTACAAGGAATACAACGACTACTTGATCAAGAACATTCAGCGGCTCACCGGCGTTGGCAAACATTGAATTTTATGTTTTGAAATGTGCCCAACTGTCAGCCGGTATGATAAGCAGATATTCAGCTCCAAAAGCCAATTGAATCGATGGCTTATAATATTATTATCATTCATTTTTTTTCTTTTTTTCTCATCACAATAAAAATACACTCGCGAATAAGCAAGAAAACATTCATTAGAATAGGATTTTTGGAAGCATTCCCATATGGGAAATGGAATAAAGAGAACATTTACCACAGTGCCATTGGTGCGTGTTTTTTTTATTTTCTTCAAAAAATTGATAGAACTATCTCAAGTTGATGTGAGCCATAATGGCTACGATGGTTGATGAGTGATACGGTAATGGTTACAATGATTGTAATCGATATCTCTCTACCCACACGAGTCACTTCAGTTTTGAATTTTCTATCATTGAAATCTTCTTTCGCAAAAGTGTCTTGAAACACGTCATCAAGGGTAAATTTCAGGAATTGATCTTGCAAACGATTGATTTTCGAAAAGAAAACCTACCTGATATATACATATGAAGAAATGGTAAAGAGGTAAAGACCAGAATAGAGAAGAGCAAGAAATATCGTAAAAGAACACCGCAACTGAGTAGACTGATGGGACGATGTTAATACGTTGAGTCTATAGTTCTCAGTAGCGAGCTGCGCCCCACTGTGGATCATAATCTAACTAAAGATCCATCAATTCAAACTTTGTATACGAAGAAATGTTCTGAAAAATCCAAATAATAAATTAAATTCCAATTTTTCAAGGTATTAAAACACACATTGTTTCATAATAAATTTGATTATATTTTGTGTTTTTTTTATTCAAGCAATAAATAAGATTGAATCAATCTGATTGATTTGATTGAATTATTTAATATAATAGTTGATTATAATCATGTAGATGTAGCTATCAATTTATGCGTGCAAAATTTTACTAAAATTGGTTAGATTCGATTTTTTTTTCTTCAATTTTTCCAATTTTTCAAGTTTTTTTTTTTTTACTTTTTCGTATTTTTCAAGCTTTTTTCAATTTATTTTCTTTATATTTTTCAATTGGTTATTTTAATGCAATTAATGAAATTAGTTTAATGCTGTTGAAGTAAGCACAGCGACACCACGCTCGTAAAAGCTGTGTGGACTTTGTCCGGAAGCAACAGCCAAATCGACGGTGAATAGAAGCTCGGCTCGTGTTGAGTTCAAGTAGACCGGCAAATTCAATTTACCAGTGCGATGTTCCGATGAACCAACCCTTTGAGAAAAAAGAGACAAATTGCAATTAGTGAACAATTTCAAAATTTGGTATAAAATTGATGTTTTTTTTTGTGCACAAAAAGAGGGTTTTTTTTTCTCATCTCAATCTACTTACTTGACCCATTTCAGAAGTGTCAACGGCAAATCGGTCATAATAGCTGTGTTCAATAGCAATTGATTGGTTTTGCACGTGGCTCCTTGTAATTTCAGTCCAGTGACACCGAAGCAGCTGTCTTTCTGGTTGCCACCGCTGCCACCTTCGGTGATGGTTACATCGAGAGCAAGCTCTTCAAGTGACCAACTATTGGCTTGAGCAACACATTGACGTGTTGCTGTGATGTAGGCTTCTGGATTCAACAGACCACCCAACCAAACTGGGAAACCCTGGAAAAAGAAATATGATTAATTGTCAATTGAATTGAAATTTGATACGAATTGAGATGTTGATAAGATATGTGGATTTAAACTTACTTGTAATTCCTTGGCACCAGCTTGTGATACCAATTCCGACACCTTTTGCAATTGCTTGATACGATTGCTGAAATCGGTGACCCATTGAATGACGGTGCATCCTGCTGGTACGGTATATTTTCGCCATCCACTTGGAATGATGCCCTTAACCAGCTCCGACAGCATAGTACGATGATGATTGGTCTGTTTCTTTTCGCCTTGGCAAATCAAAACCACGTCTTGCATATCGCTAATGACCGTGATCAATAGCTTAGCGCCCGAAGTAACCTCACGTTCAAAGTACCGATACAATGGATCTTTAATATTTTCAACGGTCCGCTTAAGTGTTGGCAATGATTTCGGAAGTAAATCCAGCCATGCACTGGCGCTATTATGCAGTGTTTTCATCCACGATGGTCGACCGTCTTCTTGGATATTTTGAAGTGATGCATCAACGACACCTTCATCTGGATTGTAGGCTAGTTCATCATCATCTTCCAATTGTTGCATCTTCAGCAATTTGCTAACCAAATCGGTTCCGTGTGTTGTCAACAGCACCTTTTCAGCATTATTCGGTAGACCAAGCCATGACGGTGTTTGGCGATCCGACAGATTTTCAATCCATTTCATGAAATGATCGCGACGTGTACCGTCGGGCATTGTAATATTTCGTTGACCATCAACATTGCCAACTAAAGCAAAATCAGTTTCAAAACTGTGCGCCGTGAATAATTTGCTCAAGAATGATGCAAGCAAACGTTGATCGAAATCGTTATCGATTTTACCACCATAAATACTTTGTGACAATAGTGTGACGATGGCATCCCATGGGATTTTCTCGGGTGGCAAATTGGCTCGGTTCATGGCCGTTTGATCGATCCATGTGTCGAGCGTATCGATAGCAACACGCAGATCGGATTCATTGAATTCGTATTTCTTGGCCCAACCCAACGGTACATAACGCAACCGTTCTTGAATGATTGCATGGAACCAAGCCAATAAGAAGTACAAACGAGCTCGTTCAGATGGTGGTTTCATCATACGGGCTATTGGCACTGTTGAGAAGGTGCGCAACAAATTGGCACGGATACCTGGAGGTGGTTCGTAGACAAAGATGCGTCCAGCTCTCAATAGATTGACTGGAACACGTGGACTGATTTCCATGGTCAAGAACAAACGGAACGCGGCATGTGGTTGCAATGAATGCAATTTCTTTTCCAATTGAATGAGCCACTGTGGTGCCAAGTGAACGTTCTTCAAAAGTACCCATTTTCCAGACTTGCATGCTTGATTGATAACACGTTCGGCTTGATGGAAACCTTCAGCCGAACCGATGGCAATCGCTGAAATTTGCTTATTCAATTCAGCGGCTAAATCATCAACACGACCAGATGCGTCGAAACCTGGTACCGAACACAACAGTGCTGGTGTGTTTGATGTCAATTGTTTCTCGACACATGCAGCAAAGTCCAATTCTTTTTCGGCCAACGGCATGAATTCTTCACCCAAAACGGTTGAAACGAACAATTGGCCGGCGGCAATCACACGATCCGGTCGGAATGCTTGGATCAATAGCAGCTGATGCATGGCGGCAGTAATGGGTGACAAGGCTTTTGATTCATCCCATAACTGGGGTACATTTTGTTCTGGTGAACTTTGATTGAGCCAAGCCAAAAATTCTGGCATCGACTTGATCTTCTCAATGATTTTCTTGAAGATTGGCAATCGAATAGCCAAACGATTTGCACCGTCGACTTGCTCATACGTAAATCCATCGATGTGCTGTTGATTCGACACGATACCCTCACGACTACGCAAGAAGAAATTAAATTCAGCATCGAGATTTTGCTCGGATGTTCCTTTCAAATGAATGCGACAGAGAAGAATGGCAAAGCTCAAGCGATCCGCATGTAACATTCCACGAGCGATGCGATCGTATACAACGGAGAAGAGATCGGTTGTGATGATTTTCAAACGTTGACCATAGTCCGTTTTGCCACTGAGTGCTGGATTGTCTCGCGACAACACCGTACTGAATATGTCCAAAAACATTCGCAACGAATATTGGTACAAGAAGTGGATTTGGTTGAGCGAATCCATTGTGAAATAAATGTTACTGCAAGCCGTTGATAGTGGCAAATATTGATGCGAAACGGTTTCAATTTCAGCAATAACCTTGTCAGTCTCTTCGACTTTTTGGCCAATGTCGGCCGCTTCTTTCTTCAACGTCTCCAACGTTGTAATCACCGAGTCGTCATCAAGGATTTTACCCTGGGGAGAGAAAAAATGCATAAGTTTGTAGGATTTTGGGTTGAATTAAATTTCAATCCTTACCTTGGCATCGTTGAGCGCTTGCAACAGTTGCTTTTCCAATTGACGAAGTCGCAAATGGAATTCGCCTTGCAATTTTAGTAGATCGGATCGTTTCTCGTCGATGTCTGGTCGTTCGGCTTTCAGAACTTGGTTCAAGCACTGGCTCTGCAACGAGCTGCGTGTCACCGTAAAGTTAACGAATGTAACACGAGAGCAAATGGATGGGTCGAATTCAACGGTTGGATCTCGAGTCGACAAGAAAATCGAGAATGATGGCGACAAATCGATGTCTTGGTCACCGAGTGTGATCAAAACACGACCGCCAGTTCGACGCAATTCTCGATTCAGCACCGGATTCAAAATTGGATCGTAGTTTTCGACATCTTGTACCAACAATGGATTACCAAATCGCAATGCTGATTCCAGATTCTTGCGGAACGAATCGTCTAAGAAACTCGTTTTGGTGATCTTTTTGCCGGCATATTCATTCAAAATGAACTCAGTCGCTTGACCTGACGGATCGATGATAAGTGTTATTAAAGATTTTTGTTATTAAAGTTATTATTTTTGAAAAAAATCAATTTTAGAATTGTTCAGATGCAAAACCTCATTCAACACCCCAATTATTTAGAAGAAAAAAATTTATTCAAACAAAATTACTAATCTAAATTACCTGAGGGATCGATGATAAGTGGATAACGATTGAAACGTTTCAACATAATTGCATTCTCTGTGCACAAATCATCAGTTGGCAATGCATTGGCTTGCCAACGTAGTCGCTCATCTGGATTCGACAAGTATTCGGTTCGAGCAATATCGGGACGATATTGAATGTGAGCCGCTTGTAAATGCTGACACCAGGTCGAGAACAAACTGCTTCGGTAGTGTTGATCGAAGTAACCACCTGGAAACGGATAATGGAGGGATTAGCTTATTCATTTTAATTTTGACGTGACGAGACATTTCTTTTTACTTCATTTCTTAATGTCGGCACAAAAAACTTAGTAAACAAGTTATTTGCACAGTTAACACCGTACCCATATCTCTTTAGAGTGATGAATAGTTTAATAGCCTTTATTCTAATGCAAAAATTCCATTCAATCAATTTACCATAAGCAATGAAAGCAGCCGACAACAACACATCTCCAACGATGGTCGACATTTGTGAACGGAATGTTTCACTTGTTGCCTCCCATCGCTCACGCTCGATGTTCAAACTCTTCAACAAGGCAATTGAACGATCGACCTTGGCTTGAACATTCTCCAAATCCGTTTTGATCGCTTGCGCTTGTGAGATCAATTGCGCATATTCTTCTTTGTAGGCAGCAATACTTTGCTCTAATTGAGCAATCAATTCCTTGGTGTCTTGGGCATTCTTCATGTTCAATGCTGCTTGATCTTCCAACGACTGCAATTCATCACGCAACGGTTCAACACGTTTCAACATATCGGCATATTCAATCTGGAATTTTCAAGAAGAATTTTATATTGTTTTTTCACTTTTTTTTAGACTGTTTTCAGACTGAAAATTTCAGTCCTTTTTTTAAGTACAAAATTTTCCTAACAAACAGATAAAGTTTTCTCGATTTTATTCAAACAAAAAAGATATATGAATTAATTCCACACGAATTTAACCTTCAATTTTATTCTAAGTCTAATAGAAGTCGAGCTCTATGATTCTTACTGTTGTTTATTTTTTTTCAATATACTCCAAAAGCAAGACATATTTACCTGAGCGATAGCCCATTTAACCATGGGACCACAGGCCATACTGGCACGATTGACTTTCTCAAAGTTGTATTCTGGGTTGCTCAAGTAGCGAGTCTTCATCTTATCACGTACATCGTCACTTCATTTTGGCAAAAAATGTGAAAAAGGAGAAAAAAATTTAGCAATTTGAAAATTGTCACAGAAAAAATTAGTAGTAAAGTAGTATTGATCAGTACGGTAAACATATTTAGGGTGTTGAATAGTTATTTTTTAGATAATTTTTTTTGATAATAAAAAGTGATTTTTGTTATTAAAGTTATTATTTTTGAAAAAATCAATTTTAGAATTGTTTAGATGCAAAACCTCATTCAACACCCCAATTATTTAGAAGAAAAAAAATTATTCAAACAAAATTACTAATCTAAATTATTCATGTTAAAATAAAAAGCAAGCAACATATACAGAACAATTAAATTTTTCAAGATTTAAAATGATGCAATAAATAAATGTTGAAGCATAAAATTGATAGAATTCAAGTCAAAGTTAATCTGGAAAGTATTATAATTTCTTTTAAATGGTAAAATAAGAAAAACAGCCATCGATAACGTGAGAGGATGGTTGAAATATTTTTTTCATATAAAACAAAGATTTTTAGATTAACTCAAACCCGAAAATGTCGTTGAAAAAATATCGCAGTTAATTTAAAAAGTGGAAATTTCGTTGAAAATCAATTTCAAATAATTTTTCAATATTTTCGAAGTAAAAAGCGAAAAGAATAAATTAAAACCGAAAAACCAAATGATCGTAATTTCTCTATTTCTACAAACCGAAAAGAATGCAACGAAAAAATCAAAATCACCGATCTAAACTAAAGCTACTCACACACACGCCACAAAATAAAACCTACGCCCATATGATTGCATCGTCAAATTGCAATCAATGAGTTGAGAAAGAGCCAATATCGTAATTTTCAAAAAAAAAAACCACGCAAACTACACGAGAATTCAAACCAACAGAAAAAGAAGATCGTTTGTTTCGAAATGCTTACGTAATGTCTTCGGTACTGAATGTGACAATGGAATTAATGAAATTTTCTCGCATAATGACGGCGCGAATGGATTTCCAATCGGATGCATTTTCACCCAGTAGCAAACAAATTGATTCTAATGCCAATTTGACAATGGCTGGCGGATTTGCCATTGATCGTACTTCGACGAGATGCTGTTTCCGTATCGATTTTACCGCTATAGAAATTTATAGATTAAATTGGTTAAGTTTTTTTTTTGGTTAACAACATTTAGATTTTTTTTTTTAAATTTTTTAGATTGATTAATTTGACATTTTGACTTGGGTTAAGTAATCCGATTAGTGACAAGAGATAAAGGGGATGATGAAGGAGAGAAAGAGATAATAACAAATTATTGACAACATTAAGAGCGTTCCAGACCAAGAGTTACTGATTGGGGTAGTTTCATTCGTTATACGTTTTCCTTTTGTACGATGATTAAATGAGATTAATAACATTTACATTTAAAAAAATTGAGCAAAATTAGACGAATTGAACAACAATAAAAGGCAGACGAGCATTAGCAAAAAAAAGTGTATCAAAAAATTTAAGTCGAAAAAAAAAACGATCGATCCGTTTGTGTAGCATACGTGATAGATGCGGTGTCGAAGTTAATAATTGACGGAATGAAACTGTCTTTATTGAGAATGGACCGAATGGTTCTCCAATCGGGAATGGTGTCGTTGTCATCGGTAGCGTTGAGCAGCAAACAAATCGATTCTAAGGCCAATTTTACGATGGCTGGTGGATTTGCCATCGATCTGACCTCGGACAACTGCTTCTTTTTTATACCACTCACAGCTACATCGAACGGACCAAGGGCAAACAATGGACAAAATTCAATGTACAAAAATTGATACTTGATTATTTCGTCATCGTGAATATTTGGATTTTTCAAAGGGGATAGACAAAAATCTAAAATAATTTGCTTGAGATGGGTTAACAACCACATTACCTTGTTGGGCATCGAGCACAGCCGGTTCGACCAATGCCAAATCGGCCATGACAAACTTGCGCTTCTCTTCAATTTTCACCGTTTGATCGGCTAATTTGATTGAGATATCTTGTGATTGAACCTTCTTCTTTTCAGCTTCTTGTTGATCCTTGAACATTTGCTTCAATTTTGCGTTGGCAGCCTCATTCTTGGCCTGCAACTCTTGCGATTTTACAGCCAATGATTTTTGCATCTCTTCAACTTGCTCCACTGTTTCGGCAATTTTGTTGAGACCAACATTCAAATGCAATTGCTGCTCTTCCAAATCGCTTCGTTTCTCTGAGTACAATTTCACAAAGTGATGGATAAAGTCAAGGTAGTGTCTGGAAATAAATGAAGAGAATTAGATTCAAGTTTTCCTTTTTTTCACGATTTTTCCTCCTTTTTTTTCAATTGTATTCTCTTTTAAAGAGATATTTTCAAAGAGATCCTCGGTTCAATTTGGCTCCGAAACCAAATTCCCAAAGAAAATTTCCATAGAAAAAGGTAAATTTACCTTGGTGTAATAGCCATAGTGCGGCCACCTCGTTTCGCTAGACGAGCGTTTGCCTTGTGAAGCGTTTGATGCACATAAACACATGCATTAATAACCGCATCACGATGTGACGGTGTTGATGGTAGCAATGGATTGCAAACGGGGAAGAAATCGGGTGATTTCCATTGTGGTTTTTCGAGATCAACACGAATGGTGAACTCACGTCCAACTTGGAACAACGCCGAATCCGACCAATCTCCGAACCAATTCAACACGCAACGATTGAACAAAGCGGGTGAAGTTGAGGCACGATCTTTCAAGCCATTTTCAGATGGATTCATTGTGAAGACAACGTGCAAGTTAGACATGACTTGTTGTGTGAACCATTTGTAGAGTTCATCGCTTGAGTCTAACATAAGCCCATCTCGTTGAGCACCTTCTTTGCACTGTGTCATCAAAGCGGCGTATTCATCACCTTCAAACAAACCAGGCACTTCACCGTTGGCCAAAAGTGTGTTCATTCGTTCCAAAAATCCAGAATCCAACACATTCGATTCATCCAAAATGAAGGCAATCTTTTCGCCTTTGCAACCGGAACGACGTAAAACTGATCGTAGATCTTCGTCGAAATCTTCGCTGGTGTATTTGTTGTGAACCTGTAAAAAAAGGACGAAATGGCGTTTAGTCTCATAGTTGAGTTTGAAAATCCATTTGCATCAAATGAACCAAACTCACCTTAATCTGGAAGATCGAAAGTCCATTCATCCATGCAACAAAACGTGACAACGTAGTTTTACCGGCGCCAGACACACCAATCAACAGCAAGTGACCCTGTGGTTGACGGAAGATACGATCGATACGTAGCACATGTTCAAGAACTTCATCGAACAAAACGAGCGGCACATCCAATTCTTCTTCGTAGAAGATTTTCAATCGAGCCCGAACATAGTCTCTCAATTCATCACGCTTAACTGGCACATAATCCTTTGACAACCAGTTGCTGTACAAAATTGGTCGTGCGAGTGCTTTGTCGCAGGCAACACTTGGGAAGTGTTTGGTTGCTACAACGTCAATGTTCTCATTGGTCCAACGACGTTCTGTATCGTCAACTAAACGATCTTGGAACAACCGTAAAGCTTCATGCGCCCAAAGTCGAACAAGGCCTTCAACAGGCAAGCTGTCTAAAGGTCGAATTGCTTCGCAAATACCACGCACCCATCGAGTCATTTCACGAGGTGAGTACACGTAGTGCGGTTGCATGTCTTGTGTGAAACGGTCTTGAGAAATCAGATAGAATTCAACCATGGCATTGGTCAACGGTTCGGCGTAACCGCGCAGAGCCGGCATCAAACGTAACATTGCACGTGAGAATGTACCGTAAATTTGCTTCAGTGATGTTTCGCCAGGGTAATCGACGTAAATTACTGGCACATGGCGCAAGAAACGGTGACTTAATGCCTTACGACCAGGATCTAACGAGGGGAAAGGTCGATTGTTAGAGAGGTTTTTTTTTCACTCATGGGAGATTTTTTTTTCTTCCCAAAGTAAAAATTGAATAAAAATCTTACCTGTCGGTGGATTACAAGCACCAACAAATTGAATACGTTCCAAACTGACCCAAGCTTGATCGCTGGCACGATAGAATCCTTTGTGCTCGACCAATTGGCGCAAGAATGAAATAACACGTTGTGTTCCGTAGCTGTCCATATCGGGCAAATTAATTTCATCGCAGAACAGTACGAGCCATTTTCCGATTTGCACTGGAGCCAAGACGACGCCATTCGGTGTCTTACGGTATTCACAGTAATGGTCGAATGTTTTCAAAAGAAGTTCGGGTGTGGTAGCCGATGAGAAATTCAAACCGACCACTTCCATATCGGGCAAAGCACGCAATGCCGAGAAGAGAGTCATCGTTTTTCCGGAACCAGGTGGACCGCAGAGAACTGAAGAGGAATGATTTTGTTATAAATTTATAGATAGACTTTGAATTAAACGTGGTTTTCTTATTAACTGACAATAACCCTCATGTAATGTGAGTCAAATATGGGTTATGTTAGAGGTTCTTCGGACTGTTGTCAGGGGAAAAAACAAGAAAAAACCTAACAAAATTGTAGCACTTTCCAATCTGAATTTCAAATAAATCCGAAATCCTTACCCAATGGCTTATGTTCAGCCAGCCAAGTGTAAAGCAACGACTCATGACGCACAGTATCAAGTGTTGGTACGACCACATCTGGAGCGGCGACTTTGTGTGTTTCGACTTCAATAACTGGCACTTTATTCGACCATGGTACCCATTCACCGGACATATTAACTTCGTAGTCGATGATTGGTGCACCTGTGTTGTTTGGCAGAGCGATAGTTGTAACGCTGCGAATAAAATCTCCCAAATCGCTGCGAATCTTCAATTTTGCATCGCCAGCAAATGACCACAAGACTGAGTAAATCAATCCCTTCTGAATGTATTGCTCCAGTTGATCGGTTGAAATTGGGAAATCAGAATGTTGTTGATTATAATTGAGAACGTTGCGAGTGAATTTGTTGAGCATTGAAAACAGTGAGCTGAGTGCTCGTAAACGGGTAAAGTCCATGATGTGCTCTTGGTTCATGGAATATTCCAAGCAACGCACCACCAAGCCATCAGAACCAAAGTATGGTTGGAACAATGCGGCGATTTCACGTTGAGTCTAGAAAAGTGTTTATTTTCGAGTCAATTCAATGCTTCCGAATCGAAATAAATTCAAACAAAATATTTTGAATGAAAAAAAAATTACCGAAATACACGGTGACACTTCATCTTCCTTTCCGCCAGTTTTGTTGTTCGTAGCAATAAAATCTTCATCGGCATCTTCCAATGGGATGTTACGCAAACGAGCCAAGTAATTTTCAAAGATCATTTCGGTGGAGAGAACATCTTCCGAGAACCAAACCATACCACAACGAGAGACCGTGGCCAATGTGGCAAATCTTAAATCTTGCACTTCGAACATGACACGCACATTCGGCGGCAATGACAAACGTTCACCATTCGGTAGCGTAAGCAATTTGTTGTCATCAAGAACGGAGTTCAAATTTTCTACCCATTCGGGATCGACATCACCATCGAAAATAATCCATTGACGCTTGTTGATCTCACCACGTACATTGTCGATGATCTTTCGCAGCACGTGCGTAAACAAACCATCTGTCCATTCTCGAGTATTCGGATCGAGAACACCATAAAGAGCTTCTTTTGATATGGCTTTTGGATCAATGACATGTGCCACTCCTTCAATACCTTCAAAACGTTCTAATGCTTTTAGCAACACACGCCATGCCGTACTCTTTCCTGATCCCGACGGACCAACCATCATCAAACCATGGTTCAAGTTGGATATTTGGTACAATTGCAATACCTAGAGATGAAAGAAGCGAGAACTTGATTAGAAATTAAACGGGAAGATTGGTTTGATGACATTGTAACATGCAAAGTTGAGGTTTCCTCACAGAGTGAGGAAGAAAAATTATGAATGAAGAAATGAAGTAATAACGATTAATAACGGATGAGGTCAATTCGTTTATATAAACCCAAAAAACGACTCGATTGAGAATCCAAATAATCCTACGCCCACAGTAGGCATGTACGAAAAAGTATTATTATTAGAATTTTGTTTGAGACCAAAACATTTAAAAATGTTTAGAATAAAATTATTCTAGGTTTTTCCACCAAAAAATTTTTTTCTTCGTAAAATTTCAAAAACTGAAAAGAATCCTATGAATTTTTTGTTCAAACGAAAATGGAAAAAAATACATTGATTTATTATTTAAATCGGAGAAAAAATCAAAAATGTTTTCGAAAAAAAAATGATTTGTTAAAATTTTGTATTGAATAAAATTTTGTATTCCAAACCCAAATGTCGAGATTTGAATAAAAAACAAAAAGTCAACTGCTACAAAAAAAATGTCTCTGCAAAACACCGCCAAAAACTGGCTCTTTTTATTCAATTCATCTTTATAATTGATTTAAAAAAAAACGCAAACAGTAATAAATCGGTTAGTAAGAGTGGTGAGAAAACTTACTTTGGACACCCATGTTTCTCCAAATGCCTAATCAATGGATTTGTTAGCGTGCAAATGTGTGTGTGATCAAAATTATAAGCATGAATGTTAAAAGTTTGTTACATTTTTTTTAAATATGAATTATTTTTTAAATGAATAATTTTTTTTATTAACCCTCTAATGCATTAATTTTTCTCAGGGCTGGGAGTACTGGTACTTGGTTGATTTTTGGCCATAGATAATTTAAAAAATATTCATAATCCTGGATTTCTCATCATTGAGTCAGGAAATGCGATTGACATAAATCAGAGAAGAATCAAATCCATTGTTTGAAAGTGTCAAAAATGTGTCTAATTTGGAGTTCGAATAATTTATTTTATCAAATTTTTGTTTTTGCACACATTTTCGTTTATAACTTTACAATCACACTACATAGACAAATATTGCCAAAGACAAAAAGAAAAGAGAAAACATTGGCAAATAAAAATTCTCTTTAAAGCAATGTGATCCGATGTACGGTTTACGTTCTACATGCGTATAAGTTTTGCCCGTCTAGAGGCGGTTGTATGCATTAGAGGGTTAAAATAATGTGTTTATGTCAAATGTTGAAGCGATTTTGTTAAATTTTCTATCAAAAGCGAAATTTTGAGGGCAGATAAATACTCTTGTTTCAATAGATATGTTTTTTAAAGAAGAATTTTGGTATTAGTAAAGAATGTTTAGTATGAAAAGAATTTGGTTGATAATTCCAAAAATGTTTTTCTTTGCCTCAACTCAGTTTGTCGAACTAATTTTGATGGATTAAAAAATATTCTAATAAAAAATTTATTTCCAAAAAATATTTCTAAACTAGCTGGCCTTCGCTATATTGAAAAAATTGCCAAAAATGTCCATTCGAATGGAAAATAGAATAGAACTATTCATTTCTGAATAGAATTTATGAGGAAAAATTTTGATGAAAGTCTGAATGCCCCATAGAAATAAATCAATTAGGCAATAAAAATCAATTTTTTACCTTCTCCGTCCAGTGGGTGCCTTGTTCGTCACCTTCACCGCACACCAAATATTCTTCGGCGCAAACTTTGCGAATCTCTTCTTTGAGTCCGGTCATTTCGGCACGAGTGTAGCTCACATTCGGGAATACATCGCTCAACAGAGAGAACAAAAGTGGAATATCTTCAGCAACCAATTTAGGCACCAAAGTTTCGCACACCGATTGAATGAGAATCTCTTGTTCGGGCAGATTTTCAGCGATGTACGCCTCATCAATGTTGGTTTCACCTTGGTTCCGCTTGGTTTCCTGGGGGAATGAATGGAAATGATTAAATGGTGCAATGGATAAAATGTAATACAGATTCCAATTCATGCTTGCAAGTACTAACCTTGATTCTCATGATGCGATCACGTTTAACATTACCGGCCGAAACTAGCACCGATTTCAAGGCACGCAACCCAAAATCGTAGTGAGATTGGTTCGAAAGTTGTTCATCGCACAATTTGAAGAATGGAACAATTTTGCAGGCCAATTTCTCGGCGGTTCGGAAACCTTGGCTGAACAACATGACTTCGGCAATGAGCTGACGATCTGGAGTTGTCATGGCCAATGAACGGAACAATTTCTTTAAATTGTCTGGCAAATTGCTTCTGCCAGCATAACCAGGATTCATTGTGATGAAAATGGCCATATCGGTCGATACACGGACCTGTTTGCCAACCAATTCAACGGTCAAACTCTGAGTGTCTTTGTTGTTATCTTGATGTTGTTTGAGCGCTTCTTGAATGGTTTGAATTTGCTGTGAAACAGCTGACAACATACGCTCTTCCAAACGATTGAATTCTGTTTGAGAAATGAAGGAGAGTGATTAGTATTCAGAAAAATGTCCGTCTTGAGGGCAGATATTCTCTTGTTCTATGAAAATTTTGCCCTATTTAATATTCGACGTTATGAATATTATTTCGAATTGATTGAGTGAAGATTATGAGAGAAGCAAGAAAGTGCAAGAAAAAGTAATAGCAAATACTTACCATCGAAGCAACCCCAAGCGCCGACTTGGCACAAACCAACAAAAATACGGCCCATAGCTTGGAAATCGAATGTTTCATCGCAGTTGAAGACGAGTACAAATCGACCCAATTGATGACCGAGAGCTTTGACTGATTCAGTTTTACCTGTACCAGCCGGACCGAATGGCGAACCACCCAAACGTGATTCAAGTGCTTGTGTCATTGTCAAGTAACAACGATCAGTCAATGGTGTTTGAACCAATCGATCTTGTACACCAAGATATTCAAAGCCATAGAAGAATCGAGCATTTGCCATGTGAATGGTCAACTGTTGCAAAACTTCACTTTGACGAGGATCGAAATAGAATCGCATCTCGCAGAGCCATTCAAACGATTTGTTGTTGGTCACATTGTTGGCCAACAAACGACGAGTCACTGTACGTTTGTGCACGAATTCGTTGATCTGCAGCGGGGCGAAAGAAAAGATAATAAAAATTAATAAAAAAAAAACAAAAATGAGTCAATATAATAAAAAATTTCATCAAAATTAACCAGAACGATTGAGTAATCCAATTGAATTTAACACGAATCCAACGAAAATTCAATGCGAATTCAATGTCTGATCATTCGATTAATTCGATTCAAATTCAACTTTTGAAGAGTAAAATAAATCGTACCAAATGTTCCAATTTGCGTCGTCGAAGCGGTGGTTGTTCTTGCAACACCGAATCAGCCAGAACGGTCAATGTCTTCTCAACGGTGGCCAAAACGCGATGAAGTGGATTTTTGTTTGGTGCAACATCGCCGCCTTGTTGAAGTGCTGTTTCAACATCTTCGGACCATAAAATCTGTGCGGCCAACACCACAATTTGGGCTTGGTATTTATCACACCATTCCATATACTTTTCATGATCAATATCGCCTTCTTTGAATTGTTTAATGTCCTGCACGGCTTGTGCCAAGTATGAAGCCAAACTGAAACGCATCTCTTTTTCGACCAAAGTCAACCATTCATTGATCTTTGGATGTTCGACTATTGATACAGGTCGTATAAATTGCACTTCTTCACCTTCGCGAGATGCAACACCCAATACGATGTTATTGTCTTCGTTCAAAATGATCGTTGCCACACCGGCAAACATCTTCTTGAAGTGCTTCTGCAAACGAGCCACATTCTTGCTGTTACCAATGATTTCCAACAAATCTTCGTCACCAACGAAGTAGAAGCGAGGGAATGATGTTCGTTCACGCTCCAAGTATTCACCAAGTGCCTTTTGGATCTTGCCCAATAAATCGGCCAATCTGAAAGAGGGAGTGGAATGGAAGATTAGCAACTGGATTTGATTTTTTAAACAGATTTTTTTCCACTTTCATCTTCTTACCTCTCAAGTTGTCGTTGCACCGAAGGGATGTTCAAGACGTCCATCACTGAAATTGGAAGCAAACATTGAATAACTAACTTTTAGCGAATTGTTTTTGACAGGGTTTTTGATCGATTTTAATAGCATTTTTAAAATAGTAAAAGAACAAGAAAAGAAATCGAACCTTTTGGTGATTTAGCGACCTTTTTCATGAGTGACAAAAATTCGGTGCTCATGCTGTTAAAACGTTGTGTTTCGACGGGAAGCAATGTTTTAATATCGGCACTGCCCGAGAAGATACCTTCCAAATAGACCCAACGACGTTGCACATCAATCCAGACATCGAACAATGCGTTAATACGATTCAATTTCTCTTCCCACGTGAGTGCTTCTTCTTCAAACACCTTATAGTACGGTGACAATTTCATAGCGGCCACTGAGTTAATATGTTCCTTAACCTTGTTAAACAAATCGTCCCAGCCTCGAATGATGCGGCATTTATTTTGATAGTTGATCAAATCCAGTTCATAGTTCGACCATGATTCACGAACTTGTTTCAAGAATTCTTCCAACGCCATTTCACCTTGTGCCACTAGAATGATGTCTTTGACGATGCTTTCATTTTTTAGCAAATTGACATCCCACACTTGACCTAAGGTTAATTCGGACAGAACCCAGTTCACGCGAAGTTGTTTCATCAATTGTTTCCAATGGCGCTCTTTCAAAGCATCCGACTTCAACTCAACGATCAACATATTCACTTTGATGTAACTCTGTATCAATTTCTTCACGTACTCGTAGCTTTCGTACATTCGCAATCGAGCTGGCAGCTCTTTGAGTTGGCTCATCATTGCTTCAAGTGCTTGACGCAATTTACGTGGTTGAACAGAAAGCCATGGTTTCTCACGAGTTTCATCGATTTGTGTCCAAATCTTTGACAACTCACCCCAAACACCGCGCAAATCTTGGAGTTCCTCCAATACAACTGACATTCGTTCGGAACTGTTGTTTGGCACGGCAGACTCTTGTAATTCCAGAGCTTCTTTTGCCTTGGCCACATTGTCACGCTCTTCCTTCAAACGCGAGAATTTACTCTCGAATAGCTGCAACTGTTGTAAGGCTTCGTCTGGACGAGTTTTGCCACCGATTGGCTTGTTGTGCTCCCAATCATTGAGAAAATCAACTGTACGAGTCTCAACTGCCTTATCTTCAGCAACAATTTTCGCTTGCAAACTTGCCACTTGAGTTTGAATAGCCGAATCTTTACGCTTGATGATTTCGTTGAATGCAGACCATTCACCTTCGATGTTATCGACATGCAACCAATTGTTTGGGAATTGGAAACGTTGACGCTGCAAAATTTGCTCGGCTTCTTGGAATACAGACACTTGCTTCTCCCAAGCCAAACGCTCTTTTTTCAACGATTGCACATAGGTGATGAAACCAACGGCATCGGATGTACTGGCAGCTTCTGTAAATGGATTTTTTGGAAAAGAGTTTGTCGTTAGTTTTGCAATGATAAGTCGAAATGAAACATCAAATGCGACTGCAAATTCGAAAAAAAATGATGAATCCAAATGAAACATGCAACTGTAAATAAAAATTTTGATGAAACAAACTGAGAAATCAGATACACAAATAGAATATAACACACTGTTTAATTAAAAGATTATTAAATTTTCGAGTATTTTCTGATCTATCGTAGTTATGAATAAATTTGTTTCCTCTGAAAAATCAATACAATGTAGTACAAAACGAAAATAGGTAATAAAATCATAAAAAACACATCAGTTTTGATTCAAAACATATAAAAAATCAATCAAACAACATACAAAACAAAGAATGAATGATGAAGAATAAAAAATGGCATGAAATAAAAGCAACATGATAAAAATTGGGTACAAAAAATTCACCAATGCTTTGCATTTCCAAGTCGCTGCGAGATTTCGACACTTTGGAGTGGAACGATTGCATTTCATTGCCCAAAAGTGTTCCGAATTTGCTCAATGCTTCCTTGTGCCATGAATCGTATTTCAATGTGACCTTTGCTTGCACCTTTGCATAGTCGATGACAATCGGACCGTATGCACGACGAGTGTCTGATGTATCAAATGTTGTACGAGATTTCCTACGGACAATTTAATTGTTGGGATCTTTATTAGTATTTTTTTTATTTCAAATAAAAAATTTATTATTATTTGCTCAAAATTACTAAATTATAGAATTAAAAAAAAGTAGGTAAAGAGGAAAATTTGAAAAAAAATGATGAAAAAAAAATCTAGGGAATGATCAGATTTAATCGTACTGAAGAAATAGGAAAAATGGATGGAAAAACCAAAAAAAGAAAAGAAAAAAAGTCATTCAATAAAAAGTTCTCTTACTTGATGTCATTCAAGCACTTGATCCACAAATTAATGTCATCACCCAAGCGGCCGTACAAAATGTCAGCTTGAAGATCCCACAAGCTTTGATAACGCAACCATTCATCGACATAGTTACGAACTTCCGATACTTTTGTTTCGATTGCTTCGTACGCACTTTCAAGTGGCCGAGAACCTTCTGGGAGTTTTGTAAGCAATGTACGATACGTTTGAAGTACTGGCTTGTCCAAACCGACATTGTATCTAATTAAGAAAAAATATAGATTTAAAAAATTTGTTCTCCGTCTTTTTCTGTTATAATTTCAAAAATATTACCTCGAGCTCTGTAGACGAGTTTGTGATGTGACAATGGCTTCCCAAGCGAACAATTGTTGCGTGATTTGGAATCGTGCCTCTTCAATGGATGGATACAAGTACATTTGCTGATTGGTGATACGAATCTCATGAACGGCGTGTTGAATCTTGGGATCGCCACCAGGAGCGATTCTTGGTGCAGTCGGGGCATCGGTGTCCATGGAGAAATCTTTCTTGGTGCCAGTGAGTGCTTCAGTCCACGCGCTAATACCGGCTTGCAGACGAGATGCCAACTTTTTCTCAACTTCTTCATCCAAACGGGCTACCCAAACATGTAAATTCGAGTACTGACGCAACGACAAATCATCAACAGCATGCTGGATCTTTGATAAAATATCAGCGAAAGTAGCTGCACTGTACGGACATGTTTCAATCGAACGGACATCAACGTCTAATTGTTCTTCGACAACCAATAAATCTTCGACCTGCGGGAGAGAATGAAAAAAATTACCGGAAAATCAGTAAAAATTCATTTGGAAATTGAAAATATGATTTTCAATCAAGAACGTATTTGTTCCCTCTATCATTAAAACTAAATCAAAACTCACCTTTTCTTGGAACTGAATGACGCATTCAGAGAAACGTTGCACGTATTGAACGAGCTTGTAGCTTTCCCAGACCAAACCGACACCTTCTGAAATCAATGTCTGCACATCCTTTCGGAGACCAGCGACCAAAGGCACAATTGAAGCCTTCTCTTCGATCTAAACACAAGAACATCCAAAAATGTTATTATTACGAAAATATTGACTCTTCTGTTCACACTTTCAACAGTCACTAAATCAAACTACAACGAAAATTGGCTTTTTGGTGTGTGGTTGTTGAATGATGTTAGTCTTTTTTTTTTTTGGCTACCTTGAATACAGAATTCGGATTTGCATGTGCTATATTCCTATTAAATAGCTGCATGAAAAAAGAAAGATGATGTTGTTTTTCTTTTGTTTCGTTTTGCTAGCAAACAATCGATGTCTTAAAATACGTAATAGTGACAATTGGACAACGAAATGGTCAAAACGATGTATGGAAGCGGATGCGAAATTTTTTGAAGGGGTGGAATTTTGTTTTAATGCCAAAATGTAAAATAAGCGAAAATATAAATGGAACTCAAAATACTTTGTCAAAACACAGCCAATACAATCAGATCGAGTAAAAAGCAAGCGGAAAGGAAATTCAATAAAAAGCCACAAACAATTATTGATAGACACGAAAGAATAGAAAGACAGAAAGGTTACCTTTTCCAAAGTTCGTTCATAGGCTCGTACACTCTCGATAAGCGATACCGCAAATGGATACGTTTGATTGGCTTGATGTGCTTTGTTAACGATTGCCAATGGAATTCTATAGAAAAAATGGAAACAGAATCATTAAAAATATGGTCCTTTTAACGGAATAAACATTGAAGAAATGAAACAGTTGTCCACTGTTTAGAAATTCTTGTTGAAAAACTTCTTCATTCATTGCACTTTTATCCTAATTTTTATCCCATAATAAATGTTCTGTTATTCGAAAATCTTTACCTGAATCCCAAATTTCTCAAATTCCGCACTTCTTTGTACAGCGTAATGATTTCCGGTAGGAAATTAACTTTTAGCTTGAGAACGTTGCCACGGCCAGTGCGTGATCTTGCTGAATCAATGGCAAAAATACGACCACCATTGAATCCAAAGTTACGTTCTTGAACTTTACGTGCCCAATCCTGGAACACTTCGCCAGTTTGCAATTTAGCACGGAAGCTATCACCGTCAGCTTTCAATTTTTGACCTTCAATGTGTGACTCCCAACCTTTGCCCAACACATCTTCAACGCGTTTCAAATAAGTCGTGAGCTGATTATCAATTTGGCGAATCCAAATAATGCTTCCAGCCACCGGTGGCAAATCACGAACTACAGACAAGCGACAGCTCTTGCTTTGCGGGTATTGAACCTTGAATTTCTCATGCAAAGCTTCGATGTCATCTTTTACACGCTGAATCAACTGCGTTTGATACTCACGAATAGCACCACGAATGTGCGGACGCACAAACAATGCGTTGAAACGCGAGAAGATACGAAACATTTCATTGGCATTCTTGGCCGTTCCGAGTTGATCACGCAAATGAGCGGTGATACGAGCTTCGACACGATCTGTGGAAAAATTGAAAGGATTTTTAGCAATGGATTTTTCTTGAGAAAGAAGTGAAAAAAATGAAAAAAAAGTTTTGAAAAATTAGAAAATATTCAAAGAAATCGAAAAAAACGTATTCTGTGGGAAGAACTAGCAGTCAACATCGATTCCAAAATGGAATCAAGGAATGTAACCCATAAACTCACCAATACGTTCATCATAACGCTTAACAGCTGCGTCCCATGCATCGCAACCTTCCTTGGAAATGTCTAAGCATTCAACTTCTTTGACATTCTCATATGCCAAATTCACTTCTTCGATGGCGTTAGCATCGGCCGCTTCAAGGCTGTATGGTTGTTTAACCTCTGCTGAGTCATCTGTGGAAAATGAAGAGTCACAATTTAATAAAGTTTATTCTTTAATTCTATAGGAGGAAAAAATCCTCCTTCCTCACCTTGAATAGCTGGTTTGCTCATTGGTCTCAGTACTCTCAAAATAACCGTACGCAATTGTTCATGTTGGCGACGGAATTTGCGCATCTCCTCCATGCGTAGCTGCAACTTCTTGTGATTGGGCGTTACACGCCAAACGGATTTAATATGTTCATCACGCTTTTTCTTCACCAAATCGCGCAACAATTGTTGCAGTTTATCGTATTCATCGTCCCAGCAGCCGAATATTTCAAAGCATTGATTCATCACACGTTCGAATTCGTCGAATGGAATGTGCATCAAACGACGTGTACCGAGTACTTTCAACAGTTGTTGGCTCAAGTCCCGTGAAATGGCTTCGATCAATCGGAGTGCACGTTGAATGGGATACTTGGTGCTGCGCATTTTACGCAAATGAGTAAAGATCGATTGAACGGCCGATCGAATCTTCTCTAATTCAGTGGCGGAGAGTAGGTCATTGATTGGGAAGTCTTTCATCAATGGATTGTAATCGGCAACCATTGCTAGAGCTTGCTTCAGTCCGGTATCCGTATCAAATGACACAGTTGCATGGAAACGTTTACCGTGTTTGAGAATGTCAAGAGTCAATGCGACCTCGGGTGATTCACGCTTCTCTTGAATGCGATGCAATGCACGCTCCAAGTTCAACCAAAATGAAATCTCTTGCATTGCCGTTCCAGACGATGGATCACGATCCAATTTAGTCACCTTTTGAATTTCCTTTATCCAACGGTTCACGCCGTTTTGTAAAGTATTCAAAAATGTTGAATCTTCGACTTTGTCACCGAAATCAATGACCTTTGCCTTGCGGCTTTCATCACCACACGCTTTTATGGTCTGCAACACCACTGGATTGATTGGTAAATTGATTTCTGGGATATCGATGTTCTGCTGCAAATGAAGCAAACCCATCTCAAGCTCAGCCATCTTCTTCTCTACCGAAGGAGCCATTTTATCACCATCATCACCACGACCAGACTCTTTTACATAACTTTTGAAGTATGGAGCCAACGATTTGCTTATGTATGAGTGCAACGTTTCATATGGTGAACCCTCCGAGAAATTTATCAATCGCAATTGAGTATGGATCGATTTATCCGCTTCAATTACAGCACCACGCTTGATGCATACCAATGATGCAGCACGCGAATTTGTGAATTGTACATCATTACTTATGCAATAGCTGATCGAACCTTTTTCCTCCTCTCCCTCGGTTGCTTGGTCATTTTCATCGTCTGGAATACAGGATTGAATGGGATTTTTTTAGAAATTTTTTAAATTATTCATTTGTTTGATATTTTTTGTTATCTTGTGGTAATTTTTGGTTAAAAAAGCCGTTGTTTCCTTATTTTCTTTCTATTTTTCAATATAAGGAACATAATTTAATTGGGAAATTTTCAATTCAGGAACATAATTTTATTAGGAAGGGTAAAAAAGTTGAAATATTAAAAAAAATATTGAGAAAAAACTGAAAAATGTCCAACGCTTATGTTACAAATGGCCAAAAATGACGATCAGCGAATTGATAAAAAAGGAAAATACTTTTTCATCGACTCGGAATATTGCCCAGAATTTCTCCATCTTTGCGTAAAATAGCAGAAAATGTAGACGTGCGAACATTTGCGAAAACGCCGAAAATTGAATGATTTCTTAACGGTGGAGAACAAGAAAAAAATCAAAGAACGAACTTGTAAGAAGAGTTTAAGAAAAAAAAGAATTAAATTTCAACATAGAAAGACAAAGTAATGAAGAAAAAACCTGAAAGCGATGAAAAAGTGAAAATAATCTTTTTCTAAAACAAAAAAATGTTTCCATCAAATAAAAAAAATCGCATATGTCATTTTAATTAAGACGTTCATGAAATTAAACAAAAAAGATTGAACAAAAAATCGTGAAAAAGAATGAAAACGAAAAAAAAAACGGTGAAAAAGATTGAAAACGACGAAAGTGAAAAAAAAAACTCCAAATAAAAATTCAACCAAATCCAATTGTGAATTTCCGTTAGTCGAAAAAACGTGCATCGATGACAAAGTACCGCATAATTAAAAATCCAACAACAAATATCACTCTTGCGAAAAGATGTATTCGCACTGACATCATCACATCATCGGTTCAAGCAAAAAAAAAACACCAACAAATCAGTCGGCGATGTATACAGCGCCATACACATGTTTGTATTCAAACAAACGAATAACGAGATAAAAGCCGACAAAAAAGTCGTTCCAATATATTTCCAATGCCAAAGACCGAAAACTTCCATGATATAAAACATCTGATGTATTTGCGTATGTATTAAAACCACTAGCACACACGTATAGCGAGCAGTAAAAAAAAGTGGCACACAAAAGCGACGCTTGGCTTACCTTTCGAGCAAGTACGTTGAATGTATAGCGCTTGTATTTGTGGGTCGGAGAGAAATTTTTTAATGCAATCCTGATTGACTTTGTCTTCAAGAACGGCATTTAAGGCGGGTGCGGTGGCATCTTCTTCGGGCAATAGAATGGTGGCCGCTTTGCGAATATAATTGGCAAATTCACCGTAATCGACGATCGCAACATTTTGCGTTTCGACCGACGTGTCGGTGTTCTCAAGTGAATCGCCCATCCTGCTTCTTCTTCTTCTTCTTATTTTCTTCAAAAAATGTTCATACGGTAAAAAAGGCAAATTGCACACGATGTTCACTGGATATTGTGCATAAAATTTGCCTTTTTTACACTTAACTAAAAAAATTCACAAAAATTTTCCGATTTAATTCCGTTTTTCTATCAAAAAGTTTCATTAAAAAAATCCACTAAAAAATTTTCACTGCTTCACAGTACAACGTTTAATACTGAAATGACTCAACCAATGCATCTTTTTACATATACACACACAATCGCAATCATTCCATCAGAATTCGGTCGTCTTCATATAAGAATTGTCAGTTTGACAGATGCGAAACTTGGTGAGCGCCCGCATCGGGCAACCGAAGTTGTTTTGACTGTTCGTGTGTTTGACATCTGTGAGACATGCTCAGTGTGTCTGTGTATTTCAGATTGACATGAGTTTTACGTCTTGAATGCCGCCGTCATCAGTTTCTTTTAACAAAATTTTTATCACATTTTAATGCATTTATTTGCCGTTAAGATCGAGTTGAAAATATCTGCCAGCGAAAAATGCATTTCCATTTAGTTGTACAACTTTTAGTATTCAGTTTATTTTTAATCAATGTTGTCCATAGCATAGAACTAGTGACCATGACCATCGGTGCAGCAGTAGTAGGTGAGTTAATGACATCATATATATTTTTTTATTGGTGTTTTTTTTTGTTTGGACTTGATAAAAAATCAATTGGTTTTTTTTAGGTGCTGGATATTGGTTGTTTGGTAAAAGTGACGGTGGAAAGGATAGGCGAGATAAAATTCGCGATTCTGTCGATCCGTGTAGCTATTATGAATGCTGCACGCCAAAATACATAACTTATGATATTGAAGGATTGAAAGCCGATTTACAGAAGAGATTATTTGGACAACACATTGTAAATACCACACTGATTCCAGCACTTCGTGCTCATGTTAAAAATCTTGAATCGTCGGAAAAACCACTTGTGATGAGCTTCCACGGGACTATGGGCACCGGCAAGAATCATGTCACCGATCTCATTGTCGAACATTTTTATAAATATGGTGAAGACAGCAAGTACGTGCATAAGTATTATGCTCGCAGAGATTTCCCAATCGCCGCTGAAGTGGAATTATATCGTGTAAGTGGAAAGTTTTTTTTGTTCAAGTTTTGAACGTTTTTTGGATAAAATACTAAGAAGAAAATCCTCAAATAAATTATTTTTGTTGAAAATTGTCCAATGTTTCGAGAATGATCCATTCTGAATGGACGAATTTCAATGATTCAGAATTGTTCAATGTTTTTTTTTTAAATTGACGGGTGTTTGTTCATCCGTCAAAATTCACTCAAAATGGAAATTTTTGATAGTAAAACTAAATTCGTTAATTCATTTATATTGATATAAAAAAATGCTAACAAAATTAATTCCAACTTGTTCAATTCTAATTTCATTTGATGTCATTCTGTCACAGGTCCGTCTAATAATAGAAATTGAAGAAGCGGTTCGGAAATGCAAGCGCTCAATTTTCGTGTTTGATGAAGTTGAAAAGATGCCGGCGGGTGTTTTTGAGTCAATTGCATCAATACTCGACTACCATAACCATGTCGGTGGTACTGATTTTCGTCAGGCCATTTTCATTTTCCTCACAAATGCCGGAGGTGATGAAATTGCGAACGCACTAAACGGCATCATGTCCAAAGGAACATTTCGAGAACAAACGAAAATACAAGATTTTGAATACATCGCCGAAATGGCCGCATACAACGTTGAGGGTGGACTAAAAAGTGCCAGCATGATCAAATCCGGTCTCATTGACCATTTTCTACCATTTTTGCCTTTGGAACGACGACACATCGCAAGCTGTGTTCGAGCTGAATTTCAGAAAATAAAACAAAAACCGAAAGATGAGGATGTCAGGTGAGATATATATATAGGAAAAACCTACTATGAAACCCATTGAGAATTGTTTTAATTGGCTTGTTTTCAATTTTTGTGAGCCTTCACAAGTCAGGTGAAGCCCTATTTTTAATCCAAAAATATTAATGTTGTCTGATTTTTTGTTTTTCAGTTACATCGTGGAAAACTACGTGTCATACCAGGGACTGTTCTCCAAATACGGGTGCAAAAGACTGAACAAAAAAGTTCAAGCGATGGTCGAAGAGTGGTAATCACTAATAGTTAGGGAATAGTTCAATGTTGAGCTCTCTTTTTTTATTGTTTAGTCGAATTGTACATAAAACATGTCGATTGTAATTTTTTTTTTTTGGCACTAATGAAAAAAAATATTAAACTAATTGTCTCTATTGCATAAGAAACACAAATGCTTTTAGTTTTATTTACAAAATTTCACGCATTCGATCTAAACTGAATAAATGAGAAGAACCAATAAATGCGCTTGTATCTTCTGGTTTGGTATTTTTGTGTGATTAACGCCTAATTTTGCAAACAATTTAAACATTAACCAAGTTTTACACCCATGATTCTTGTAATAAAGTTGTCAATGAACAATTGCAGTTAATCAGAGATTTAATGTATCATCCAATTTGGTATTTTAATCTACAAATTGCAGTTACGATGGATTATGCAGTCCAGAATGCGTGGCATATGTCATCGATGGACTCAAATCAGATCTGAAAAGACATATGTTTGGTCAACATATTGTAATTGATACACTAATACCGGCCCTTCGAAATCATCTTGAGAATCTAGAACGGTCAAAAAAGCCATTAGTTATGAGTTTCCACGGTACCATGGGCACGGGCAAAAATTATGTTGTCGATTTGATTGTAAAGCATTTTTATAAAGAAGGTAAAAATAGCGAAAAAGTGCACATGTATCACGGTCGCGCGGACTTTCCATATGACAATGAAGTGGATAGATACAGCGTAAGTTATTTTTTTCCATCCTTTTTCGAGTAATGCAAAACCTAACTGTTTTCTGTTCATAGGCACAACTGGTGAAAGACTTCCAAACGGAGACTCAATCATGTGACCCATCAATATTCATTTTTGATGAAGTTGATAAGATGCGTCCGATAATTTACAATAGAATTGCATCCATATTAGATGATCCAAGCCAAACTGTTAGCAAAGATTTTCGTCAAGCCATTGTAATTTTCTTATCAAATGTGGGAGGTGATGAAATTGCAAACACACTCGACCAAAAGATAGCTCAGGGAACGCCACACGAACAAACCAAAGTACAAGATTTTGAACATATTTTTGAAGTATCCGCACAAAATACCGAAGATGGACTGAAACGAATCGTCACATCTGGTTTTATCGATCATTTTCTACCATTTCTACCTTTGGAACGACGTCACGTCGCCGGCTGTGTTCAAGCTGAATTTCGAAAACTAAATCGAGAACCCAAAGAAGAGGATGTAAGGTGAGATTGATTGAAATCTAATCCATATGAAACGGATTTTTATATTCATATTTTTCATGGAAGCGAGAATTGCTATTGACAGATTTCGATTCACGGCTGTCGGCTGTGATGAGTGACTTCATTCATCTAAGAACAAATATATGCATCAATTTTTATTTTTCAGTTACATCGTGGAAAACTACATGTCATACCAGGGACTGTTCTCCAAATACGGTTGTAAAAGACTTATCAAAAAAATCCAATCCATGGTCGAAGAATGGTAATTACACAGCCAATGACTGCTTTGGAGCAGTTCGCTATTGAGCTCTCCATCTCTATGTCCATGTCAAATTGTACATATTAAATGTCCATTGTAATTACAATTTTTTATTACACCTACAAATTACAACTTGTAGGTGTAATAAAAAACGAAACCTATTGTTTCTATTCAGTTATTTAATTCAAAAATTTCAATATCAGCCAAATAAATTTCATTACACCGAATTGAGTTTTTTGCATTTTTTTCATTCCAACGGAATTATCTCGCTCAGTAATAAGATAGGATAGAGTAAAGTTGACCAATTTCGACTGCATATTTTGTTCGGTCTCGAGTAACACAGTAAAAAGTTCATCTCGTCATGGTAAGACTTGTAAAAAGCCAATAATAAATCCAATTGAAGCTGCGTATTTTTTCAACAGATTCATTAATTTGGAAGAAGTTTGCCGAGGACAGCACATTTGAACTAAAATAAGCGTAAGATTCATCAATCAAAACTATAGCCGGTTGAAAAAAGAGATGATAAAAAACCAAATTCTGCATCTAACTATTTGAAACACACCTAAACGAACTCAAAGCGAGCGACATTGAAACACACGCACTTCGGGATTCGAAGAAATTTGAAATGAAATTTTGAAAAAATACAAGATTTTTCGACCCAATGAAAATACTTCTAATGTACAGATAAACACTAGGAGATCAGCAGATCTGAGGATGGTTAGAGTGGACTATCTTATCATTGATAAGATTAATTCTTTTTTAAATATTAATCTTATGTCCTTTGAAGTGAACGACGTATGATACATACAGGTGATGTCACATATTTTAGCCAATTTAGCTAAACTCGCATTTTGTCTAATTTGTATTTTTAATCAACATCTTTCATGGGGAACAGCCAGAATGATTTCCAAATGTAGGATTGTGATTGTTTTTTTTT